TCATTTCGATTAAGATGAATGAGTATTCGATGAATGGAGATACGTGGATACGCGCTCTAGAAGACGCTATTGACGTGGATGACGATGTCGACGATCCCGATAGCGAAACGGCACCAAATGAAGACGTTGATATTGGCGTCGAACTTGGGTTGGACAAATTCGTCAGATCCACCGACATTTTTCATTCGGTGGCTGCAAACGAAAGCGATTATCTTTCGATGGAACGTATGTTGAATGCAGAGCAACGTGCAATTGCCGATCACATCGTACGTGGCGTGCGTCGTTCATTTCAATATGGACCTTTGTCCATTTTCGTTAGTGGAGGTGCCGGCGTTGGAAAGTCTGTTTTGATTAGAACGGTTCACGATCGACTAATCAAGATATTCCATGCGCAGATCCACACCAATTTCAACACGATCAAAGTGTTGAAAATAGCACCCTCAGGAGTTGCAGCTTTTCAGATTAAGGGCTATACAATCCATAATGCTCTTATGATTCCAGTCGTGCAGAATCGTCGTATAAAGAAATTGACTTCGGACAGGTTAAATACTTTAAGATCAAGATTTGGAGACGTTAAGGTTGTTATTGTCGACGAAATATCAATGGTTGGGAAAAATACATTCGAATGGATAGATTTTAGACTTCGTGAACTTACGAATAACGCGAACGTTCCCTTCGGAGGTTTGCACATGGTTTTTGTTGGGGATTTTTTCCAACTACCTCCTGTGCGCGATATCCATTGTTTCGACAACCGTACCAATCTATCTTCAACATGCAATTTAAACATTTGGAGACGTGTACAACTTGTCAGAATCCCAGTCACTAACCACTGGGATAAAAGGGCTTGTTTGTGTAGCGGGTGAGTGCGCCCATAACCCCCCAGGCCAACGTGCCTGTAACCCTTCCCTAGGATCAACGGGGATCACCAGTGGACCTCTGACACCCCCCCGCACTGGGATGCCCGAGGTGCACACACCGGGATTCGAACCCGAGACCTTCGCTCTGATACCATATCAGAATCCCAGCCACTAACCACTGGGATAAAAGGGTTTGTTTGTGTAGCGGGTGAGTGCGCCCATAACCCCCCAGGCCAACGTGCCTGTAACCCTTCCCTAGGATCAACGGGGATCACCAGTGGACCTCTGACACACAACTTGTTGAGCTCACAATGATCATGCGGCAACGTGAAGAAGTCAGATTTGCCAAATTACTAAATCGTCTACGCGAAGGAGCCTAAACTCCTACGTATGTATGTTTGTGCCGAATGCTGCCCGGCTGCTCCAGTCAGTATCAGCTGCAGCTGCAATTAATCTCCCACACCCACCTGTGCTGCCTGCCTGCCCGAACTGCAGGTACTTGGGGCTCAACGGTATTTCTGGCTCCATCGCTGCGTTTCTCAGCAACATCCGCGGCCTCAAGCATCTGTGCGTTTTCTACTCTTGTCTATGCTGTTGCATCTCTATGCCCTGCTGCAATCTCCACCGCCACAGCTCCCCTTTTTTCGTCACGGTTCTTTCAATTTCACCTCATGGCTCCTTTTTATGCAGAACCCAATCCCTCACTTGCTCCCCACCACCGTCCTGCCACCCACGACTCTGTATCAGCATGCTTAATTACAACGAGTTCATAGGGCAAATACCCGACTCTCTGGGCAGTCTTACCAACCTGGCGGTGCTGTGAGTTGATGGCCCAGGGCGGGTAAGGCCAGATGGCGGTAAGGCAGGGAAGGGTGGGAGTAGAGAGTGGACGGGACATGGAGGACGACAGGGGAGAAGGAATGAAAAAGTAGGGGAAGCGGAATAGAGGACTCAATGACGGGAGTCGGAGGTGGGTCAGAGTGCAGGGAGGATAAGGGGGACAACCAACCATCCATCCACACTGTTACCAACCATCCTTCATACTCACACGGGCCCCCTCGCCCGCTTCCCCCTCTTGCTTGCTCCCTCCCTCTTCGCCTCCCTGCCCTCCTCCCTCCTATATCTATTTCCTCTCATTCACCATTCTCTGGTCCTGTACTTGCGCATCCCAACCTCATCAGATCCATGAAGGCCAACGGATTGACGGGAAGCATCCCACCATCGCTTGGCGACTGTACTCTTCTAATGGAGTTGTATGTATGCACGATCAATGCATGCGTGAATGCATGCGCACAAGGAGAGGGAACCATTTGCTGGGTTGAGTTCTTCGATGCCTTCACAACCCCCCCGACCTTCACGTATTTTTACCCTCAGACTTTGTCACTATCCTCTCCCCTATGCTCTGCCAGTGTCCACTCGTCACTCTACTTCATTTAACCTCCGTTTTTGCAGTGTTCTTTTGCATTTAATTGGCACTATTCACCCTACTCACACTACCATATCTGAGTGAGAATAATTTCTCCTAGTCCTCTACTTCGCACTTTTCTTGCCTATTGTCCTCACTTGTCATGCCCCACACCTGTAACCTCCGCACAGGGACACGGCTCGGAACGGCCTCACGGGCAGCATCCCTGAAACCCTAAGCAACCTGCGGGAACTGCGCTACTTGTGAGCTCCAATGCCTTGTTGGCAAGGCGTGTGAAGAGAGATTGGGGAAGCGGGTGAGCCAGATGAAGTTTCTGCCTGTGTAGCAGGAGACGCTGAAGAGAACTGGGGACTGTAGAAGAGGTGGGCTTGAGGGGGAGGTCGAGTCGTGTGGGAGCCAGTGTAGTGACTGGAGCTGATCATTGGCACCTTGCCCTCCTCCCTGGGAAGCCTCGCTACGCTCGTCAACCTGTCAGTCTCCTGTGCCATGCACCACCTGCTATCCCTTCAGGTGTATGTGTGTGAAAATGCGCCATCTGTACACCTAGGGGACGGGAGGTAGGAGGAAGCAATGCTTGCACCCTTTCCCAAAACTCCTGACTCTCCCAGGAACTCCACGTTTCTTTCTAGCCAGCGATGGTTTCTTTGGATCCATTCAGAAAACTGTAAGCCAGCTGGCGTCACTGGAGTGAAAACTGTTGCAGGCCCGATGAACACCTTTGTTGATCGCACCTATCTGCTGGTGCCAATTCGCCTGTTACGTGGTTTAGAAGGTCGTTTCGAAAGGCGAAACAATGTTTGTGACGTGAGCCGCAACCACTGTTGAAGTCTGGTGCATCAGTGTGTTGGCTGTCATTCACCTGTCACGAAAGGCCCTTGTCCTCAGTACAAGAAAAGGGCGGAATTGACCTCAGTGTTGGCTGTCAAGAAAGGCCCTTGTCCTCAGTGTTGGCTATCATTGACATGTCATTCGAATGGCGAAATTCGATGGAGTCCAGTTCATCACGCACCTTGCCCGTGTTCTCTGCCCTCTTCTCTTGCTCGCAGCCCAGGGACATGAGTAAAAACCAGCTGGAAATGGAGATGCCCGCTTGGATGGGCAACCTAACGGCCTTGAGCTACCTGTTCGTGCCACCATGCACAGCATTGCACCGCTTTCTGTCGCGCACCATTTATGTGCTTCTCTGCTCGTCTTGAACCTCCTTTCCATTGGCCATCGTGTGAATAGGCCTTGCTGGACTACACTACAATGACCTGGTCAACACATTCCTTTTCATACAACTGATCTACACGAACCTTTGCCTAGAAGCAGTTTCATCTTTGACTTCTCTTATCCCTTCCTTACCACACCTCCTTTATGTGTATTTCAGTCAGCTGTATAGTTTAATTTGGATATGTTAACTGTACACGGATGGTACATGCGTATACGAAAACATATGTCAGTCGTAACTGAGCTTGAGAGGCCGAAAGCTAGTAAACGGCCCCAGAGGCAGCGTCTAAGGCGGATGTAGAGCGCCGCGCGCGAGGTTCCACAGTGCCCCGAAATTAAGGGTCCACTTCCAACCCTTCTCGCCCATGCATCGGATACGTCCAAGCAAGTCATTCTCCAAACCCGCCAGTGCCAGCATCTTCCCTTGTCGTTTCGAACCACCGCCTTTCTCCAGCTTCTTCCCCAATGCGCGGGTGTACACCTTCACCTGCAACCGAAAAGCTGCCTCAATGCGCCTGAGGACGCGCCGAGCCCGGAAGCGCTTCCCCCGGAAAACACAATCACACCGCTCTGTCCATATCTGGTGCACCGCAATTGCTGCCAGCGAGGCTTCAGGGAAAGCTGATGTGGATGCTGCCTTGCCGAACAGCAAATCACCCAAACTCTCCACCTGCCTCGCTGGGTGAAGCAAACGCATGGCCCGTCTGACCGCCCCCACCACCAGCTGAATGCGCGGGCAAGTGAAGAGGCAGTGCTCCAGGATCTGGAAATCCCCACAGTGCGGGCAGACCGGCTTGCCACTTAGGAAAGAGAGCCGTTCTCCCACCTGCAGATTCAGGCTGTGAATCCTAAGCAGCACGTCCCGCGGCCTGTTTGGGATCACCAACGAGTCCCGAATTTTGATAACTTCCTTCCAATTAATTACACCTCCCCATTTGCCCGCCCACAGCTCCCTCTTCGCGGACTGATGCTTCTTCTGCTGCCAGCTTCCTTTCAGCTCCTTCAACGACGTCAGCTGCCCACCGCTGAGCACCAGGGTTCTCTGGAGGGGAGTCCTCCGAGCCAAACAATCCCCCACCTGTTGCTCGGCAGGCAGTAGGAGCAGCTTCCAGCACTGCGGCACTGCGTCCCAAGCCCGCAACGCCAGCTTTGCTTGTTTGGTGCCGCCTAGTTCCTTCGCCAGAAATTTTATATCTTTGGGCCGCCGCCCCCCCGCGCCGTCCGGGCACAGCAAGTCGCCTAACCGGACCTCCCAGAGTTTCTCCGCAGCCTTCTGTCCTCCCACCGGAGTCTTTCCGTTAAGCAGAATATGGCGATTGAACACAATCCTCTCCATCTCTGCCTCCTCCCGCGACAGCACCGGTGATGTGTCAGCCAGCGGCGACTGCATGAAGTCACCGCAGGCCAACTTCCATCGCTTGCTCTTCCCACTCCAGCACTTGAGGAGCTTGACATGCGAGACGAAGGTGTCCAGCCCCAGCGGCAAGTCAGCAGCCTTGAGCATGATGTCACGCTTCAGCTCGTTTGTCTCGGTGAGGAGTAGGCCAATACGCCTCGCCGTGAGACAAGGTGAGGGCTATCTCCGGATCGTTCACCCCCACACCCCCGTCCTCTCTAGCCATGTAGAGCAGCTCCTTGCTCCACATAATGAAAGCTTTGTCTGTGGTGGCCCGATTCCCCGACATGAAATTGTGGGTCAGCTTCAGAATTCTCCCCCAGATGTCAACCGGAGGTGGATACACCTGCGCCTGAAAGAAAATGATGGGCGAGATGTAACAGTTAATAACCGCTGCTCTCGCCCCGGTTGTCAGGTGTTGCACCTCCCACTGCCTCAGCTTCTCCTTAATTTTTGCGAAAGCCTTTTCCCAGGTGGGCGCGCAGCAGCCAGCCGGTGTCACCCAGACCCCCAACAGACGCTCCACCCCATCGGCCTTCACCCATTTGAAGCCATCCGTCTTGCTGGCCTGCTTATTTAGATTACTGCCCAAAGGTAAGACGGTCGACTTTGATTTATTGGTCGCCAGCCCCGATTCCTTTGCAAAGTCGTCAAGCAGCTTTTCAGCTTCTGCTAACTGGCCCTCCCCTTGCAGGAGCAACGTCGTGTCGTCCGCGTACCCCAGATAAGCCAGCCGTTGAGCGCCCCCTGTGAGACCCAGGCTGCGGTTCACGGCTTCCTGCGCCAGCGGCTCAACGGCACACAGAAAAAGGTACGGCGCGAGAGGGCAGCCTTGCCGCACCCCCGATACCACCTCAACCACTTCCCCCATCCAGCCGTTGATGAGCAGCCGTGTCTGTGTCTCCTCATGCAGGCCCTTGATCCAGCCGACGAACCTGCTGGGGAAACCCATCTTTTCCAGCACCAGAAACAGATAGTTCCTCGAGACTGAATCGAAGGCCTCCTGGAAATCCACCAGCAGGAGGTACCAGTCCGCCTGCTCGTTCTTAGCAGCGTCGATCACATCCGCGACCAACCCCACCGTATCCGAGAGCCTCCGACCCGGCAGGAACCCGTACTGCTCCAGCGAGATCACCTCGTTCAAGACTCTTTTCATTCTGTCTGCGACCACCCGCGCCAACACCTTGTAAGTGAAGCTCAGAAGCGTGATTGGGCGATAGTTCTCCACCGCATCCCTTCCGCCCTTTTTGTGCAACAGAATAGTGACGGCACTCTTTGTACTTGCAGGGAGCACCGCCGTCTCGGTGAAACTCTCCACCAGCGCCATGAAGTGCTTACCCAGCACATCCCAGTGCTCCTCAAAAAGCTCCTTCGGCAACCCATCATTTCCTGGAGCCTTATTCTTCGCCATCGCATGAAACGCACTTTTCACCTCCTTCTCCGACCAAGCCGCCGTCAGCCTTTCCCGAGCTATCGACGACAGCGTTCTGCCAGCGGCAGGTACCCAGCCCGACTCAATCTGTTGCCTGTCGTGCCCGAAGAGGATTCTGTAGAACTGCGACGCAACCCCCAGAATCGCTTTGTTGTCAGTGACCGTCATACCACCAGCACTCAGCTCCTTGATCTGCGTTTTCTCCCGCCTTGCTTTAATCTTCCCTGACAGGAACGGGGACGCAACCTCCCTAGCCACCGCCTCGTTCATGCCAGCCATCTCATGCAGCCTCTCCTGCCTTGCCAGTTGGTAACCGCGAAACTGCGACTCCTCTACCAGCAAAGCCTTCAGCCGGTCATCCCCCGGATCACCCATCCACGCTTGTTTCAGCGCCGCAACCGCATCCTGAAGGTGGGTTATTGTGGCTTTAACCCGCTTGCGTTCCTCTTTTACGTAAGATTTAAGGCCGGCGTTAAGCCGTGAGATCAGCAGCTCAAAGTTCTCTCCGTTTGACGCCACCTGCCTTTCCACTGCTTCAATAATCTTTCTGACCCCCGGCCGACCAATCGTGTATGCAAGCAACCTCCAAAGCCCGGGGCCCAGCTTCACCCGCGTATCCATCCTGAAAGCAGCCTTCACCGCAAAGCTGTGGTCCGAGATCGGGTCCGCCGGCATGATGTGCGTGGCAAACTCCACGTGCGACAGCAGCGACTGCGAAATAAGCGCCCTGTCAATTCGCGAGCTGGACTGGTTAGCGCACGAGTAAAAGGTGAACTCCCGCTTGTAAGGATGCAGCACCCTGAAAGCGTCTGAAACATTGAAAGCACAGCACCGCTGATACAGCTCCTCGTTCTCTTTTGCTGACCCTTTCTTCGACGTTCTGTCCAGCAGCGGGTCCTCTACCAGGTTGAAATCCCCCAGGATAAGCAAGTGCGACCCCGGCTGCACCGAATCAACCACTGGGCCCAGCGTCCTGCGGACGAAAGCCTTTCTTTCGACCGAATCTGCCGGGAGATAGACAGCCAGCAGGGTGATGCTGAAGGAATCAAGGCGAACCTCCGCCGCGACAAGTCTGCCTGACGGGTGGACGAGCGTGTTATGGAGGGAGAGGCCAGGCCTGCGGCAGATAAGAGCCACCCCCCCGGCTTTAGAGGTTGGAGAGGCGATTAGGATGTTGGGTTGGTTAAGAGACTTCCAGAAGGTGTGATCGTCCGAGAGCCTAACGTCAGCTAACACAATGACATCTGCTGCTTGTCTGATCCATGATTTCGTGCGTTGTTGCTTGTTCCCGTCCCCCAGGCCGTTGACATTCAGGCCTGCAAATGATAACAGGCTCTTCGTACTCATTTAATCACTGATGACAAGCCCCATCGCATCCACGGGCGGGTACAACCGGCTACGACTACACAAACAAGCATCAGCTCCACAGAAACTCTACACTGCATCAGGTACGCGGGTGAGGATCTCAGATCTGGTACTCCTTGCGGATGATATGCAGACCCAGCCTCTCCAGGGAACAGCCAGTGGCGGCACCCAGCTTCTCCAGGCCCAGCAGGTGGCTCGCCGCCGTGATATGATCTGCTGCAGCCATGAAGGACTTGCCGTGGGCCTTCCCGCAGCTCTCGAGGGTACACAGCCATTCCTCGCGGTTGCTCCCAGTGGAGATCAGCACGAAAGCCGCATCCATCAGAAGCGGGGTAGTAAGCGGGGAAGCACGAAGAGAGGCAGCTGCGAGAGGCAAGCAGCGCGTCAGTAACCGTTAAGACAGGTAAAGCAGAACGACAACCCGGAAAAGGTGAGATGCAGTTACCATTGATCCTATGAACCCGTCCCACCGTTAAACTCCACTTCCCTATGTTATTCTGACGCTCCGTGATGAAAGGATTATGAAACTTGTCATAATGGTATCCACCAAAGAGCGCGCAGGATAGCAATGGGTAGTGGGCCAACAGGGTCGTTCCTCCCAGCAGCTGATGACGGAACTCATGGCGCCAGCGGTGCTTGTCGCCGGCGTGTGGGAGCACCAAACCCTTGACCTTATCCGTATCGGCTCGAGTAACCGGGTGCAGCACGCGGTGAAAGCAGTGGCCTTCGGCGAAAGCAGACTGCTTCCGGATCTTGAGCGGGTGAGTCACCATGATCTCCTTAATCAACTCCGGCGGGATGTCAGCAGGGACGTTCTTGAAGAGAACTTCCAGAAACTGCGGGCCCGAAGCCTTCTTGCGAAGGTAAGCCGCGTCCTCCTGATGCAGCCAGAAGCAGTGAATCGTTGTGCCGTTTTGGCGCTTGTGTTCCACCGCGGTCTGCTTGATGTTCACCACGTCAGATTCATGCAGGAAGGAGACCTGAAGCCGACTATAGCGGGTCTTAGCGACGAAGGCAGGAAGCAGCTCCTGAAACTTCACCAAAAACGGTAGCAGTCAGCTGTATAGTGGTGATTCATGCGAATGTCTGCATGAAAACGGTTTCATATTTCACCTCCTGTCCCTTTCTTCCCATATCTCCTTTCTTTGTTAAAGTTTTCCCATTTCTTACCTCCCCCATTTACCCATTTTGTATCATGGGAATCCCGGAAACGTTTTCGTGTACTAGCCGTGGAAAGTGTAACCACTTTAGGAAATATAGTTAGAAAGATTCCACATTTACTGTTTCCTGCAAAGTGTCTATCTTCCTTGTTCTCTTTTCTCCTTGCATCATCCATTGGTCTCTCTGGCCCTCACCAACCTCAGCAACCTGGGTTACAACAACTTCAACAGCCCCATCCCAGAAATGCTGGGCAATCTACACAACTTGATACACCTGTGCGTGAGCTGTGGGGGCAGGGAATGACGCACGCTGCAATGGTGTGCAGAGTGGAAGGGTTATCTAGAGTGGAAGAGCAATAGAGTGCAGAGTGGAAATATACTGCTGCTTCGTTTAGTAAACAAAGAGTGGAGGCATATAGGAATGCAAATGGCAAGGGGCAAATTACAGCCGCACCGCCTTGAGAGACTGGCACGGTGATGGGGGGCTCCATTATGATATATTGCGGGCCTAGATAATCTACTCTGATATCCCCATTCCATCCTCTTTTATTTTCCGCACCTGCTTTTTTTTGTCGTTTCCTCTACTGCATCACATTCGCCACTCCTTCAATGAACTTATGTTGCAACCCACTTACTTTGCTTGCTCCACCCACTCTCTTGTTCCACTCGCCGTGCACCATGCCCACCATCTCTCAGCAACCTCCAACACAACATGCTCTCTGGATCTATTCCCGAATCCTTCGGAGATCTTACTGGCTTGGAAACACTGTGAGATGAGAAGGCAGGCTGCACTGGGCTATCCTAAGCTGATGGGGTAACAAGTCTTGTCTAGGCATAGCAGTATTCAAGAGTCTTGGCCTCGTTGGCATGGCTGTCGGTCATCAAGTATCAAGTGGCAGCCGCACAGAAGTGAGAGAAACACCTGTGAGATGACATGGCCAGACTCTGTCAGTTTAAAGGAACGTTGGAAATGAAAGTACCATGGTAGCAGGGACAATGGAACGCTTCTCACTACATGCTTCTGCTGGATCTCATGCCAATGCGCGCCATCTCGTGCTACCACACGGCAGGTCCTTGGAGCACAGCTGGATTTTGAGCACCATTCCTGCGTCCCTGGTCAACCTCAACCGGCTTACTACCCTGTGCGCCCAAGCTCATTCTTGTTTGCCTGTCAATGTGATGTCTGATTTTGATCACCACGTAGTTCAGGATTTATGATCTTTAGATTATACACGTATCAGGGACTTATGGTTAGACATGCTAAAAACTAAAATACAGTTCCATTATTGTGTTATGATCTCCTAAAAAACATGGTATAGGAGAAACAGTTTTCCACTCACACTTTCTTCCTCTCTACTATCCAGGATCTTGTCTAATAACCTCCTTGGGGGAACCATACCTGCAGCATTCAGCACACTCACTCGCCTCGTGTACCTGTAAGCACGCACACACTATCTTGTATCGAACAACACCTGCCAATAGAGGCTGCTAGCCAATTGGCAAGAGACTAGACACGTGCAATGTACCGAGTCGAGTAAAACTCGACTCGGTCTGGGCCAAAACTCGACCGAGTTCGAGTTCGAGTCGGGTGAAACCCGGTCGAGTTTTTTTGCCAAAGTTCTGGACTCGAAACTCGGCTGTTTAAGGGCGAGGTTTAAAAAACTCGACCGGGGCATTTCATACACTCGGTCGAGGCCTAGTTAAACTCGACTTGGGGGGAGGGGGGGGAGGGGACACATCATGTAAAAGCTGGAAGTGAGGCTTCACCTGGTCCTCCTCCTCCACCTAGGGATGAGCAAATTCCCGAACGCCTGTTCGGTTCGCCTCGAACATGCATTTTTTTTGCCTAAAATGTTCGGGCCGAACATGTTCGGTGTTCGGCCGAACATGTTCGCGGTTCGCCTCTGACATTTGCGGCCCCCAAGTCGAACACGAACACGTTCGTGTTCGAATTGGGGGCCCCGCGAACACCAAAGTGTTCGCGTCAAAATTGGCCGCGACCAAATTTAGGTCGCGGCCGTTTTGAGTTTGAGCTCATTTCGTGAGCTCAAACTCAAAACGCTTTCACAGCTTATCCCTCCCTCACACAGCCGCCCTAGCCTTGTAGTTTTAGAAGCTTTCACACACCTTTACTACTAATCTACACGGACACTAGATCTAGGGTTTCCCGTAGTGTAGTGTGTTTAGGGTAAAATAAGGTTGAGTAGCTTAGGGATCAATCAGCGCTTGGTCAAAGCTGTAGGGTTTCGGGTCGGGCATTTCAGAAATATACACGTGCTGGAACATTGGCGAATCTGCTCATTGGTGAACTCGAACATGTTCGACTCGAACATGTGCGAGTTTGCCTGCTGCAACAATTCGTTCGCCCCCAAGGGCGAACATCGAACACCTGTATTCGCCCAAATCGTTCGCCGAACCAAACACTGTTCGGTTCGGTAGTTCGCGATGTTCGACGGGGGGCGAACCCGAACATGTTCGAGTTCGCCCTCTGCTCATCCCTACCTCCACCCCTCCCGCATGATCGCCACGGTGGGTTCCTCCCACCCCCCCTTTTCCGCCCTTGGGGTTCTTACTTGAAAGCTGCTTGAACTTCGCCATGCTAAATCTGTAGGTCGACCGTTAAATTAATAGATAGTAGTGGGTCCTCCTCCTCAAACCCTAATCGAAACCAGCCGTACAATAAAATCGCGTCACTAACTATGCGTGAACCTAGAACTACGTTGCCCCTATGACGATCGTAAGTTTAAGAAGAAAAAACAGCCGTGCGTTTGGCTGGTTAGGCACTGGGAATTACTGACGACTTGTTGGGGAAGGGGTCTAACTGAAATCGCGATCTGAAAATGGACCCGC